TAAAAGCTATCCTAAAGATTCTCAGACAAGTAGTGACCTAAGATCAGATCCCATGTACCAAAATGTAGAGGAACTGTTTTGAACATACAAGGTATGTGTACTGTAAAGTGCAGGAAATTTCAGGTAACAGGTTAACCTCAGGTTACTTTCCTGTAAGTGCAGGAAACCTCAGGTAACAATAATCATTCTGTAAAAACTCAGAAGTTACATGTAAGAAATTTCTGTTCAGTCAGAACCAAAAAGCCAACATGCTTATTTATTTGGCAAGAGAAAATACTTGTTTTCTTATGGCTTCTTCTTCTTCTTGCAAAATAAAGAGATCTCCATAGAAATGTAGAAAAAGCACACCAGCAACTGAGCTTCTTGGCAAGAAACAGCATCAATATGATTACTAAATATCCTCCACAAGGTTGATGTGAGAGGTGGTGAGCCAGATGGCAGCCACAGGAAGAGCAACCTCTGCCATGCCAGCTGAGATAACAGATAAAACCTGACAGCAGTGTTCCTCTTAGGTGGCTGAAACAGAATGTACAGAACCTGTTAGCAATCTATTTAGCCCAGATCAATATTTGAATAGCAATTCAAGGGTAGCAAATGGCTAAAAAGCCATTCCATACTCTTTAGTAATTTCCACTAAATGGTTCAGGAGCGGACAGAGCACATCTTGAGTCTAGGGCTGGGAGCCCACATCACTATGGAAAAGCAGCTCCTGGAAATAGAGTTGACTGGACAGACTAGCCAAAGCCTCTATTTCCTCTCATCACATTTTTTGGCACATCTCCTTGATGCTTTTTATGCCTCCTTAAAAATGTACTTAAATCCTTTTGTCTGCTTTAAAGGTTACACATCTTTAGCCTGCCGTTGCTAAAACTTACTTTCCTTGAGCACCATCAGTCTCATCATTGCAGAAGGTTCCTAATGGAAGGACTACTACAGTAAGTGCAACACACATAAAAGTTTTAAATTCCCCACGTCCAACGTTTCTGAAAGATTTGTGGGGTATTGGACTTCTTGCAGAGTTCCAAATTAGCAAAGACACAAACCAAATTATTTGGATTTTCACAACAGTTCTCAAACATACCCATCTCTCAAAGTACAATGGCAGGGTTTCCTCACTGTCTATCTTCAGCACATAAATATATGTTGTTGCAATAACAACTTACCAGACAGGAAGTAAAGAAAGCAAAATCTTAAGACTAATTCAGCAAAGTTATTCATTATGGGCATAAAGTCATCCCTACTCAGCAAAGTTTTAAAGCATATGATTAACTTGGAACACAGGTTTAAATTCTTATTAATTTCAGTGAGATTATGGATGGGATGTGGAAACAAATACTCTGCAGAATTGGATCTTATGGAAGAACAAGCTCAAGGAAATAAAGCTGCAAACTCTCCACTTCAGAATTTTACTCTCAGTGCATTAAAATGCACACATTGCACAGAAGCAAAGGTTATCCATCAACAGCAAAACTCACATGAGAGATCAAGACCCTGTCAGCTCCAATACCCACTGGAAGAATATACTCTAGCTTTATATGTAAGCCATGTTCTCCAACAGGCAACAGGGACCAGCACAAGGCCACAGATGTGTAGTTCATTGGCATGAAGAAAGAAATTTAAAAAAAAAATAATTAAATAAATACAGGATGCTTCAGCCACCCTACCATTTCAAATGTATACTTTTCATTAAGAAAATAAGTGCTTTTGATATATATTAATATGGAGATAAAATGCTGGTTCTACAGACTTATTCTCATGTATCTTTAACACCATCACCCATCCAAGAGTATCACACCTGCAGTTTCCAAGGGACTATGGCTAAATGCCAGCTCTGACATAAAAGGTTATCATTTTCACTGAAAGCACTTCTGAGTCCTACCAAGGCACAATTTGGCCCACTACAACCTGTGTTCACACAAGTTGTGAACTTTGTTAACACTTTTCCTTTTAAGTTTTATTAATGATTGGAAGAAAGACAACCAAAACACACAACAACGAAAGAAGAATCAATTGAATGCTAATAAAAAAAAACCCCAAACATTCTTTACAGAGAGGGTTATCAGGCATTGGAACACCCTACCCAGAGAGGTGGTGGATTCACCATCCCTGGAGGTTTTTAAAAAGAGACTGGATGTGGCCCTTAGTGCCATGATATAGTAATTGGAGTTGGATCAGGGGTTGGACTTGATGATCTTGGAGGTCTTTTCCAGCCCAATCTATTCTATGATTCTATGATTCTTTTAACTCCATTCCATTTTGTGGTACAGAATCTGTCAGAGGGGTGTTTTACTGTTTGGGGGGGTTTAGGGTGTTTTGTTGTTTGGGCTTTTTTGATGTGTTTGATTTTTTGTTTAGGGTTTTTCTCCCAAGAACTGCAACCAAGATTGATAGCTCCAATAAAAGAAAATTAAAATTATTCCCTGAACAGAGGGCAGGAACATGGGCACGATTGCAGGAAAATCAAAAGTACAATAATGAACCAAATAAAATCTACATATGCACATGTAAGTATCACATATTTTCTGCCACTTTCATTGAGCTCTGCAATTTCCAGGTGTCATAAGAGGATTGGCAGCGAAAATAACTGCAGAAGAAAAATATTACCATTTTGACCTATATCACTTATGAATCAGTAAACAAAACTAACTGCACAAGGAAAAGGATGGCCAACATGCCTCAAATGCTACAGTGTCTGTGTCTGCACCTCATGCCAAGGGATCAAATAAAAAAAAACAACCAAACCCCAAAAGCAAAAATCTGTAAAAACCAGAAAGGCACTAAAAGGTAACTTTCAAACACAGAAAACAAACCAAGGAGCTCTTAAACAAGTTGTCTCTAAGTTTTGGCTTTTTTTTTCTTAAACTAAAGCATTACAAATCGTGCTAATGTTGATATAGATCTTTTCAAAGCAACTAGTGGTATATGTCACCCTAAGATGTGATCGTAATTACTATGCTTCTAAAGAGACAAAAGCACTGCTTGCCAAGCTTGCCTGCCAGTATTTCTTCAGAGCTACTTGTTAGTCATTTCGACAATAACAGCTTATCTCTACTTGGTCATGATGTGCTATCCACAAGGCTCTTTATTTATTTATTTCAGGGAGTTGTTAATGTAGGCAAACTTGACAGTCTCTTGCAATATCTTCCCACAAAAGGGGAGGATCACATCTATTCCAGGCAGCTGCTTGGCATTTTTTTATCCAATGGTCCAGCTCTAAATTAGCTACGTGCTTCACCTGTGTCCCCCCATCCTATAAGGCTAAACCAGAACAAAGGTTCTACTTGTGTTCCCCAGGACAAAACTCGACTAAATTATGTCTTGCTCCTGTTGTTCCAGCAAGCTGGTTAATTGCATTTGTTTCATATATCTCCAAACAGCCTGGTACATTAATTACATTCTGTAACACCAAGCTCCTCTGATTCGCTCTGTCACTTCCACTGAGCACTTTGTGTTCCTTCTAGCTACATACAATTTTAAACACTTACTAATAATTACATTTCTACAGCCTGATGTTTGCACTTTGTATACAAAGCTATCTCCAATATCGGTGGTCTTAAAGTTAAGGATCTTATATTACAGCAAGAAAAACAGAGCAAACATAAAACTATGACCACACTGATTGCCACAAATGTTCTATTAAACCCTTTCACAGTTAAAACTTCCTACCGTGTAGCACGTACACACATTACACAGAAATTTTCTTACTGGACATTAAACTGCAGAGCATATTACGGAACCAGTGTAAAACTGTACTTGAATGTCTTCTTCTTCTCACCTATTCGGCCTCCTTTCTTGCTAGGGGATGGTGGAGAAACACCTAAAGCTGCCTGTGACTGCAAACAATAAACCCAGAGCCCTCGCCTGGGGGCTGATACAGTAAATGCTGGGAGCAGCTTCCTAAGACAAAGTTTTCTCTCACAAACGTGCAAAAACAGCCAGGGTCCCAGTCATTAAATTCACCTCAAGTCTAAAGGACTGTTTAGAGTTGCAAATACTCAATCCTAGGAGCACCGCCGAGCATTTGGTGCCAGCACGGGCTCCTGGAGAACTGGATGCTCGCTCCTAGTCTTGTGCTTGAACTGCTGCAGCGCATCCACCGTGTGCGCGGCAGCACAGCGCCCACCCCTACTTTGAAAGGCAATTTACCCTTGCACTGAAGTTCTCGCCCTACTAAACCGTACTTCCCCAAGATGATCATTTACAGCTCCCCAGCCGTCACTTAAACTCGAAAACCGCAAGAAACGCTGCAGAGCAGACCCAAAGGGGAAGGGGGGAGAGAGGGGGGCGTAAGGAAACCCACTCTTTCCCCAGAGGCTGTTGAGCTTCATGGAAACGCTCCCTCTGGAAAACTCGGAATGAGGGGGAAGACGATGGGAAGAGCCTCCGGCCCCACCTGCCCGGCCCGGCGGAGGTGGAGCGGGGTGGTCGGTGCCGCGCTGCCGCCGCCCCGCGCTCCCAGCCCGCCTCCCTCCCTCCCTCATTCCCTCATTCCCTCATTCCCTTCCTGCCGCTCGCCAGCGCCGAACCAGGTGTTGAGGGACTCTGGAAATCCGCCAGTTCGCCTCACCTGGAGCCGAGGCAGGGCTAACCTATTTATTTCATCAGCTGGCTCTCCCCCTGGAAAAGTTTAACAATAGAAGGCGGCAAAGTAATACCAGCTACAACAGCTCCCTGCCTTTCCTTTCTCCTTCCCGCTTCCCGCCCCCCAATAAAAGATTTAACGCGGTAGTTTTTACTCTCTCCTCGCCACCTCAAGCTGACATTCTTCCATTCATAAGCTGCTTTCCCACTAAGTTAGGAGACGGGAAGGACTGCTTATTGAAAACATGTATTTTCCCTCTTCTGACCCCTCCCTCCCCAAATACCATTTTTATACCAGGGACAAACTTAAGGCTCTGTAACGTTAAAGCTCATAATGCCGTCCATGTGCTGTCCCAAATCAGATTCAGATGAAGGGGATTTCTGCACAGAAATGACATGTCTAAAATAAGAGAACTTACCATAGACTTGAAAAAATGCAAATCCGAAGAGCAGGAGTGGCGTCAGCAGACCCATTTTGACATAGTAAAAGCAATCCCGATCGCTTGCGAGACTAATTCCACAGAGATAAAAAAAAAAAAAAAAAAGAAAAAAGAAAAAGAAAAAAAAGTATCCAAAGCCAGTAAGAGGTAGGTCCAAAAGTTTTCAGTTTCCTAGCAGCTACTTAAAGTGGAAAGGGAAATCTTGAAATCAAAAGCTGCAGATGCAAAGGTCTTGAATGTGACACTTTTAGATCCATACAGATTAGAGCAGCGAGTGAGCTCCGGAGGCTTCTGCTTTGCACACACGCTCCTTCCTAAATTCCCACCAATCCAGCCCGAGCAGAGGAATTATTCAAGTGTGTCTAAGACTCTCTTTAGGATCCATGGCAATCCAAAAGCAAGCTCTTTCTTCGGAAGACAAGGAGAGACTCTGAGAAAGGACCTGATTCCTAGAAAGTGCTCCACAAACTTCCCGGCACTTTGCAGGAAAACCATTGGCTTGGTTCGGCTATCTTGCTTTCCTCTCGCCCTCCCCCTACCCTTTTCTCTCCCTTTCTCTCCCCAAATCAGTTCAAGCTGCAGAGTTTCTCACTTAACTTCCATAATAGGAACGCCCAGGCAATGTGCTACACGGGAGGGGAACGGCTTGCTTTCTCAGCATCCCCTCAAAAAAAAAAAAAAAAAAAAAAAAAAAAAAAGAGAAAAAAAAAAAAATGCCGTGTCCCCTACACCTCCCTCCTCCCTGAAAGCGGAGCGGGAACTGTTGGAGGGCAGGACCCCGGCGCGGTGCCGCTGCTGCTGCCGAGCGGTGGCGGCGGGGGATGCCGGGCGCGAGGGGGATGCGGGGAGTGCGGGGCGCTCCCGCCGCCGCGGCTCTCCTGGGCGGCCCCGGCGTGTCCGCCGCTCCTCTCTGCGCTCCTCTCCTCCCTCCCCTCCTCTCCCGCCGCCTCCGCCTCCTGCCGCCGCGGACACACCGGCTGGCAGCGAGAGGGAGGAGAATGAGCGCGGCTGCCGAGGCTGCCTGGGGAAGGGAGGCTGCGGGGTGTGGACTAAACCACTGCGCTCCACACCCACGCGTCCCTCTCTCTCTCCTCCCGGGGTAGGGAGATGGGGACGGCGATGCCAGCCGGCAGCCCTAGGGCTGGGAGTCAGGCTCGCTGTCTCCCCTCCACAGTTGGGTGTAGGTGGGATTTACATGATTGCTCCTCAGCGCTTCCCCTTTAATGGGCAGCTAATTTTTCGGTAAGTGATTTCATGGAACTGTTCTCTAATTATTCATTTTCCCCTCTCGCACGCATAACGCGGGCGCTCGAGAGTGAGACCCTCGAAAGCATATTCCCTAGGGATTTCTCTGCTGGCCCGCTCCGTGGAAAAGGTGGCAAATAAAATAAAACACAAAACAAAAGACCGCCCGTGTCCCACAGAGCCTGTGGGACCGGCGGGCTCCGCCGAAACCCAGGAGCCTCCAGCCTCCCGGGTCCCTTGGATGCAGCGGAGCTCCCGCCAGC